CAACTTGCCGCAAGAGCCGGGGTTTTCAACATGCTCTTTGCGTCTGAGAAAAATGACCTGGGCAAGCCTGCTATTTCGCCATCATACCACAGTGGACAGTGCACAGTGAACAGTACAGTGGGTGTGGGTGAGGGCAAATAGGTGGGGAAAGGCGAATTAACCGATGGAGGGGTCGGTTAATTCGCGACCTTTTTAATTGTGGGGGAGGGATTCGGGGCTTGCTAGCTAGGATTCGGGGCTAGGGGCTCAAGGGCTCGGGAAAGCTTAGGAGAGTGCTGCTGTGCAGGTGCTGGTGTCCTACCTCGACAAGCTCGCACACACTGTCCACTGTCCATTGTCCACAGCAACAGCAGCAGCAGTAGTAGTGGTAGTGGTAGTGGTAGTGATAATAGTGATGGTGGTAGTAGTAGTAGTAGTAGTAGTACTAGTGGTAGTAGTAGCACACCAGAAGCAATAATAGTGGCAGTGGCAGCAGCAGCAGCAGTAGTAGTGGTAGTGGCAGTATAGTAGCAGCAGCAGCAGTAGCAGTAGCAGTAGCAGTAGCAGTAGCAGTAGCTGTAGCAGTAGCAGTAGCAGTAGTAGTCGTAGTGGTAGTGCTAGTCTGTGTCGTAGTAATGGTATTCGTATAGTAGTCGCTGCGCGCGCTGTCGAGGTGCTCGCGCGCGCTGTCACAGGTGCTCACGCGCGCTGTCGCAGGTGCTCGCGCGCGCTGTCGCAGGTGCTCGCGCGCGCTGTCGTAGGGGTCGCACGCGCTGTCAGGGGCTCGCGCGCGCTGTGGCAGGGGCTCGCGCGCGCTGTGGCAGGGGCTCGCGCGCGCTGTGGCAGGGGCTCGCGCGCGCTGTGGCAGGGGCACGCGCGCGCTGTGGCAGGGGCTCGCGCGCGCTGTGGCAGGCGCTCGCGCGCGCTGTGGCAGGGGCTCGGGCTCGCGCGCGCTGTGGCAAGGGCTCGCGCGCGCTGTCGCAGGGGCTCGTGCGCGCTGTCGCAGGTGCTCGCGCGCGCTGTCGCAGGTCGCAGGTGCTCGCGCGCGCTGTGGCAGGGGCTCGCACGCGCTGTGGCAGGGGCACGCGCGCGCTGTGGCAGGGGCTCGCGCGCGCTGTGGCAGGCGCTCACGCGCGCTGTGGCAGGGGCTCGCGCGCGCTGTGGCATGTACTCGCGCGCGCTGTGGCATGTGCTCGCGCGCGCTGTCGCAGGTGCTCGCGCGCGCTGTTGCAACTGCTGAGCACAAGCACGCTTTGCAGGCATGTGTGCATGCACGGGTACATTGGACAGTGGACAGTGTCGTGTACTACGACTACGACTACGACTACGACTACGACTACTACTACTACTACTACTACTACTACTACTACTACTACTACTACTACTACTACTACTACTACTACTACTACTACTACTACTACTACTACTACTACTACCTGTGCAGAAATGCACCCAGAAGTTCAGAAGCTTTACCTCATGCATCAGCGCAAACCCTGTGCACAGGTGGTCGGAAGACTTACCTTTACCATTGATGTCTTCACATCCGAGGCGAAACCGCCCCAGAAGTTCAGAAGCTTTACCTGATGCATCAGCGCAAACCACCACCACCACCACCACTACGACTACGACTACTACTACTACTACTACTACTACTTCTACTACTACGACTACTTCTACAACAACAACTACTACTACCACTACTACTACTACTACTACTACTACCACTACTACTACTACTACTACTACTACTACTACTACTACTACTACTACTACTACTACTACTACTACTACTACTACTACACAGACATCATTTTTGAGCTTGCCCTGCCCCACCCCCATTCCAATTTGCAATCTGTTTTCCGGCTGCTTGCTGCTCCTGCTTTTGCTGCTGTTGCTGTCCACTGTTCACTGTTCATGGTCTTCAATGCTCACTTTAAATCCTGCTTTCAAAGCCCCTTTAAGGCTCCCAAAACGAAAAGGTCAGAAGGTTAGATACCAACGAACGGAAGGTCAGTTGCTTTGAACAGGGATTAACAGAGGTGGCTCACCGGAGGACGGCAATTTGCGCCGTGGCACTACGCCAGAGATGCCATGATGACCGACGATCAAGGCCGACTACACCTACTGCCGCCGAAGGTGAAAGAACAGCTTCACCACATGCCGGCCGATTACACGGCGAGATCCACCGCCGGAGCACTCGACGATCGCACTCGACATCGCCTCATCGGCAACGGCTGGCACTGGGGAGTCGCACGACGTCTTCTATTGGCGCTGTTGGTCTTCACGGCAACGGCGCCGACGACGGCGACCCCAGTGCCGAGATCCCCTCGCCGATCGACGTTACAGTGGGTGGCGTCGTTGTGGGGACCCGGCGGTCCGACCATGGCCCCAGCCCCGCCGCGGCCCGGCGTGGCAGACATTCAGGACCTCGACGAGCAGGCGCACTGGACCGCATCATGGTCGATGTCACACCCACTGGCGGACGACGCACCACTGGAGCCGGCGTGGGAACGACTCCTGGTCATACGTCGAACTTGGCGCCACGACCTGGTCACGATCCGACGAGAAGTTGTGACGAGGTCCGCACCATGATCGAGGACACAGCCGACGAGACCAGGGAGTGGCTCGCCGCCAGATCATCATGGGTCAGAGCCACGTACTCGACGCCGGATAAGCCGGCCCCGACGCAAGTGCTTGTTTTCATACAGCTGCTTCGCCTCGTCGACTACCCCGACATCGACGCCCTCGAACACGACATGACGGAGGGCTTCCAGATGATCGGCGACATCCGGCCAGGACCAGGATGGAGGAAAAGAGACGACGGACGCTACCGACACCCGACGGACATGGACACCTTCCGCCGGACCAACGCCGAGTACGTCCGCCGCAAGGTCTCCCAGCACGACGGCGGTGAATTCGCCGATCAGCTGCTCCAGGAGCTCATCGCCGAGAAGAAGCTGGGCAGAGTCATCGGCCCGACGACAGCGCCGACTTGGCTCCACACCAAGGCCACGGCGGTACCCGACCAGATCGAGGTGGACACCCTGGTCGAACCGCCGCCCGCCGAGCACTTCCTGGCAGGATCCTTTCCAGTGTGCCAGACCGACGAGAAAGGCGACCTCAAGGTACGACGTGCCGAGGACTGGCGGCGCAGCGGGCATAACGCCACAGTGTCGGTGGACGACGTGCCGACGCACCACTTCATCGGCAGCTTCGTCGACCTGGCGCGACGCATGGTCCAGGACACCCCCGACGTCGTGGTGTTCGGCAACGACCTGCTCAACGCTTACCGCCAGTGGCCGGTTCGACGACCGGCGGAGTGCGGCACCTTTATCTCGACGAGGCACGGCGTGACCTTTTGGTACCACCTGGCCATGAATTTCGGCGCTACGGCGTCAGTCTGGAATTTTAACAGGGGAGCCGACGCACTTCAGCAGCTGCTCAGGGGCCTACTGCTCCTGGCGACGGGTCACTACGTGGACGACTTTAACGGCCTCGACGACGCCCTCCTCGGCGAGTCGGCGATGGTCTCGTTCCAGGACCTCCTCACGGCGCTGGGCTTCCTCACCAAGGCGTCGAAGGCACAGCACCCGGCGAAGAGCCACATAGTGCAGGGCGTGGAGTTCCAGGTCGACGCACGGGGAGTCACCCTCAAACCGACGGCGGTCAGGGTAGAGAAGATCATGGAACAGATCCGCCGGGCACTCGACCAGGATACCCTGTCACCCGCCGAGGCTGCCAAGCTCGCCGGGCGAGTGTCATTCTTGACACAAGCGGCATTCGGATCCGTCGCAAGGGCAGCGACGAAGGCAGTCTACGCCCGAGCTGCCGACACAGCGGCATGGACGGCGGACTCCCTGTCCGACGGTCTCACGGCGGCCCTACGTTCCTTGGCCAGGATCTTGCCGACGATCCGCCCTATAGATTCATTCCGTTCGACGCCAAGGAGATGGAGGTCGCGATCCTGTACGCCGACGCACGTACCCCAGGAGGTACGCCCGACGAAGAAGGCGGCGAATGGCTGGGGATATGTGCTACGAATCGGCGACCAGGTCTTCTTCGACCACGGCGTAGCGCCGGAATGGTTTGTCAAGCTCTTCTCGACGAGGAAGGCCTACATTTACATGCTCGAGGTGCTGGCCCAGCTCGTCGCCTTTGTCGCCTTCGGCGCCCGACTGCCGCCGGCCATCGTCGCATTTATCGACAATACCGCCGGACAGGCAGCCCTTACAAAGGGATACGGGAAAGACGCCGCGGTGAACGGCATGATCTCGGCCTTCTGGACGCTTGCGGCGCACCAAGGGTGGTTCGTCGAGTTCGAGAGAGTCCCCTCCAAGGCCAACGTCGCCGACGCCGTCTCCAGAGACGACTTCAGCAGGGCGACGGCCGAGGGATGGCACAGGGTCTCCACGCCAACCGACGAGATCCTCTCCATCTTCGCCCGGTCGGCGCAGGACCTCGAGTATGCCACGACGGAGGCGGCGGACCACCTCCTGGAGCTGGCCAACGGCTTCCACGTCTGAGCCGGCGCGGGGTGGAGAGTCGGTGCGCACGGCGGGTGCAGAATGCGCCCCGGCACCGGCTCGTCGTTCCAGCCTGTTTCTTAGCCGAACGGCGTGATACAGCGCTGCTACCACACGACGAAAAAGTACGGCTGCATTCGTCGTAGTGCTCAGTTTTGGTTCAACGTCGGGCAGAGTGCGACGGTTGTTGTGAAACACACGTGTGTGTGCAGTAACAACCGTAAACGACGAACGTCGACAGCACTCTGGCTCGACGAAGCTTTTCAGTTTACCCACCCTCACCGCCCTTTTGATCCGTTTTCGGCGGAAGGCGAACGACAGCGGGCCGGGTGCAGAATGCGCCCCGGCACCGGCTCGTCGTTCCAGCCTGTTTCTTAGCCGAACGGCGTGATACAGCGCTGCTACCACACGACGAAAAAGTACGGCTGCATTCGTCGTAGTGCTCAGTTTTGGTTCAACGTCGGGCAGAGTGCGACGGTTGTTAAGGTCACGGTGGACATGGCTTTCCACTCTCAGCTCGGCTTGGACGTGGATTGTGCAAGCGGCAAATCTTTGTACGTGAGGCATTTGCAGGCAGGTGCGGTTGAAGAGTGGAACAGGAAGACACTTGGCAGCCTGCTCTACCCCTCACCTTCGAGTGCACTCACTGGGAGAAGTGAAGATACATTACTCAGCTTCCCATCAGCTTTCCCAGGCATCCTGCTCATCTGTCTGTCCATGCTGGTGATCGGATTGTGGCCATCAACGGTTTCGCACACGATGCGCAGGCGGATTGGGTGTCGATTCAGCTGTGGCCCTTGGTCTTTACATTCTCTTTGGCGAGGCCATGGTTAACCTGTGCCGTGAGCTCATGCAAAGCCGCAGCAAGTTCCAGTTGCGAGTCCGTGGGCCTCCGCATCTCGGCCTCAAGTCGTGAGCGTCTCTTTATGCTATCGCTTGCTTCCCAGGAAATGCACCAAAAGATGCGTTTAAGGGCATTCTCATTTTCATGTACTGCGAAGACTGGATATTGCTTGATGCCTCCGTTTCGATCGCTTTGGCACCGCGTGCACCTTGCAGCACATGTCATATATAGCTCGTCCACGAAAGCTAGGGGCATCTCCTAGAACCGGCTAGAGACTCGTCCTTGTTCTGAAGTGCGGCTGGGAAAGCACATGCCGGGCCACGGCTTTGATGCTGCAAGCCAGTGACTCAAACCGTCCGCACGGCATCGGGCGAATCGGACACCGCCAGGCGCACAGCAAGCATGGTGAATGCACGAGGCGAGTCCAAAGCGCGAGAGTCGTGAACGGAAGTCAAGTGAGCGAAAGTCTGAGTGCTCACCATCGGAATCAAGCGTTTCACAGCTCCACAGCATGGGACTTGTCACCGCCCGATCCCATTTCCAACTCCTGTGTCCGGCGCCACAGCTACAGTATGTAGGGCTGCAAACTTGGCCTTAGGTGGGGGGTGTTCCGGGAAGTTCAGACAAGTCGCTTCTGGCTTGGGGGTACAGTAGTCCACATGTACCGTCGACGCTTGCCTGCATCCAAGGCTAACTGCAGTATTCCGTACACAGGCTAGTGACTACAGCTAGTGAAGCTTGCTCAGCTCGAATACTGCCTGCTCTCACGGGCTCACCTGCGTGAAGTTGCGCTCCTGTGAAGCTTTGCCTGGGCTCAGTGGGTGCAACACAGAGCTCCGGAGAACATACAGTCCCCCCGACGACAAAAAAGGGCTTTGGGGTCGGGGGACTAGGATATACGTACATCTAGTGTTCGGGTTCAGCAGCAGTCATGATGGATCCGTGTGCTGAAGCGATTGAACTCAATCAGGCCGCCTCCGGCCGAGAGCAAGAAGGACAAGACGAAGGAGAGTTGCAGTTCAGCCAACTTGCAGTTTCAGTTTCTCCACAGTGTCTGCAGGATGTTCTGCGGGAGAACTTCAAAGAGGACGAAAGTAAGCCAAATGTCGACGCGGACGACGCTAAAAGCAGCAGCAGCAGTAGCAGCAGTGCAGAGCAAAAGGTGAAGGACTCTGAGATTGTCAAAAGCAAAGACAAGCAGCGTGAGAGGAAGGACAAGGAGAAAAGTAAGGACACAGACAAAGCAAAGGATAGAGACAAGGACGCAAACAACGAGAAAGACAAAGGTAAAGACAAGGATCGGAAACGGCGAGATGCGGACAGAGAAAAAGAGAGAGGAAACGATAAGGAGAAGGCGAAAGATAAGAATCACAAAGAAAAAAAGGACAAGGACAAGGAGAAGGACAAAGACCGCAGCAAGAAGAAAGCGAGGTCAGACGAAAGCTGAATAACAGCAGCTGCCTTGCGCCTCCTTCGATGCTGGATGACATCTCTGCCGGCTGAGCTCAGCCATAATCAGCCAGACGGTGCTCACGGTTGATGCAGATCGCAGCCAACGTCTGCTGCAGTGCCACATCGCATCGACAGGTTGGAAAATCAAATCTGCATTGTCTGAGCACTGCCAGAGGATAGATGGCATCTGAGCCTATTGTGGTGTTTGTGCTGCTAGAAGTCCACGTGGACTACGTGCGAACATCGACTCCGTTTTCGGCTTTGGAGCTGTGCAACCATGCAGGATCATACTGTCGTTACGAGGCAATGGGACAGATCATTGTTTGTGCAGACAGTTCTTGCACAGATCACTAGAGAAACCAGCGAGGAGCTACTTCTAGGTGGCTTTGTTTCGTGTAGTTGAGCTGATACGACTGCTGGAGTTGGGACTTGCCAGAGCCCCCAGACGCCAACACGCCCTGTCCCAAAGAGAACCAACACCGGCATCACCAGCAAGCCCAGAATGGCTTGGAACACACCTCGAATGCTTGACTCCTTGCCCTGATGCACTCATAAAGTTGCCAAGGCAATGGCGCAGCGGCCGCCTTTGCTGGCAGCATTCCGAGTTGCCATTTCGGTCATTGATGTGAATTCAGGTCTGTTCGAGCATAAGCCCTTATCTCTGGCAGGCTGACTCGAGTTCATTGCCCGCCCTCCAGGAAGCACGGGCCCCGAAACCATGCTCGAGCTGTTTTGACTTGTTCTCATCGTCTGCAGGTGCCTGCGAGTGGCAAGCTGGCTCCTCAGTTCTTCAGAGATCCGACTGCCCTGACGGCGGCATCTGAGTGCCTTGAGCTGTAACAGAGCTTGACATGCTTTCCTGGGCATCAGGCTGGCCGGCAAGAGGGGGGCCGAGCGGAGGTGATGCCGCAAACTCCAACTATTTCCTTGCTTTGGATTCTCGATGTGGGACGGTGCTGTCGGAGGGCAGATTTAGTTTCTCTGACATTCGGGCGCAAGCCTCGGAGCGGCAGGCGAGTGCTGGGCGATCTGTCCAACAGGAATTGGCAAGGTGCCAGAGCCTCGGTGCCGGGAGAGAAATCCGCGTCATACAACTCCAGCAGCATGAGAGCGACAAAGCACATCTCAGGGCGATGCTGGGCAGCCTCTTTGCAGCATTTTGCGAGCTCTGAATTCTGCTTGATTTGAGAACAAAGCAGCATCTGAATGCACTAGCTGTCACTGGCTGTGTGCAAGAGACGTGCTTGCGGTCCAACTACACAGATCCATGAGCGCACACACAGACGGAGGAAGCCCTTCCACGAGTCGCGAGTACCACCTCAGACCCCACGACGACGACGACCGTTCGAAGTTTTCGTTGGAGGTGCACCTACCCTTCATTCTCAGGGATGTTGGGTCGATTGCAGCCTCTCAACCCTCCATCGTGCGGGCAGGCGAAAACGATTCTGGAGGGACAGTCGCTGCCGGGAGCCACGACAAGCTCGTGTTGCCTGCGACGCATTGCAGTTCTGCGCTTTTCTTTTTTCCGGGAGGTCAACAAAGCCCGCTCCTCGCTTCGAGATCCCTTCCCAGCGCCCAGGATGCCAGGATCCCGGGCTGCTGAAGTTCTGTGGCGGCAACATGGTAAACTACATTTGCAAGTTTCCAAGTCTAGATTTAGCTTTCGACCAGACCGTTGCAGAATGCTGGTGGCTGGTGGCGTCGTAGCCGCAGGCTGCCAAGAAACAGAGCCAACTGCCTCGATGAGGTGCCTTGTCAGTTTTGCTTCGGCTCGGAGTTGTGTGTGCCACCGACCGAACATTCTTCCGGTTCAGGGGGATCTTCCAGATGTGGAGCATGTCGATCTTACGGAGGACGTAGTAGATTGGTAGGCTGCTCATGCCTGCTCTACAGGATGCATAACGAGTAGCTACATGCTTTTTCAAAGGAGCAGGGCAGCTTCTGGCAACCACTGTGGGAGGCAGGGACGTATTCGTCACGGCATCATGAACCCTTCTCAGAATGTGTTCTCGTTCATGGCCAGGGCGGACCTGGTGATCCACAAATCTTAGCCAGCTGCCCAGGTGCCAGGCGAAGGTTTACGAGGGAGCTTTCCTGGAGAACTGAGGCAGAGGGCCTCGGCAAGGCCATGGAGCTTGCGGACTTGGAGGCCGCACTCCGAGATACTTGCGACGCCGAAATCCACGGTTCTCGGGGAGCGCATTGAGAGGCACAGTGGCTGGACCATTGTGCCTCGTTTCCTCCGATTCCGATGGTGGAGGACTGGTGTAGTGGGACCTGGCATTGTAGACAGGCCGTAAGCGGCCATGCCAATGCCAGTACACGACGCTCCTGTTCTGCAAGAGGAATGGTCCGGCAGACTCACTCCTGAAAGAATCAAGGCCAGAACGGTCGACGGATGGAGTGTGCCAGCGAAGACACGGCCTAAGCAGGATGACTCGTTCTGTATGCCTTCCCCACCGCAGGGCCCTCAACCGGTTTCGCCTGCCGCAGCCCTTGCAGCCACACATCATTTTTGGGAGCTTGATAAGGTCCATCTCACCTTTCAAGATGGAGCTCGACCTGGACATGGAAGGCTAGGCTGAAGAGACTGCATAGAGCTCGGGCTTTTGCATCGACAGCCAAGCCGATCCCAAGTACTTTATCCCTGCATGGGCCCCAACCCGAGCTGCGCATTTGCGAAGGCTGACTTCGTCCGACCTCGCTTGAGGCTGGCTTTTTGTGGGGATCAAGACGCCGGCGTTAAACTTCTTGCTGATCGAGGGGTTTGACTTTCCGGGTTTCGTCTGCGAGAAGACCAAATTTAGGCAGTTTTTCCAGTCCCGACAGCACAACGTGACTCAAGTTGTCTGGACTGCGGTTCTGACTTGACGCCAGAAGCTCCGCGCAATACGCAATGCGGAAGCACCATCAACAACATTCATATCGTGTCATTAGGAGTTTTGCAGTCTTCTGCTGCATGTTGCGTGTCTTGTGAAAGGAAGCAAAAGGGTTATCCGATCGCAGAAAAAGTCCGTGCAGAGTTCTTGTTTTGGTTTTGAGTCCACAGGCGGCGCGCCATGCCAATGAATGCAGACTCGCTGCGAACGAAGACTCAGTCAACTACAGGGTTGGTTTCATGTGCGCGCACAGAAATATCACGATGTGCACAGGGGCCAGCATGTACATCTGTTGCCACGCATAGCGCCGCAAGTCTTTGACTTTCACCGCCAGTGGGGTTGGAGGCTACAAGACGATGTAGTTGCAGCTTTAGTTCGTCATCACACGACAGGAATAGACATATCTTATTAACTTCTCCTGAGCGAGATTGTTAAACACCCTGATGTTGATTGCAGGGATGCGACGGCTTTTCTTTTGCTGGTGACAAGTTCTCGCTGGTGTAATGGCAGCATACTTTGTTCTAATGGCGTATCGCCATCGCCCGCAGGCGCTTCGCTACTGCAGCTTTGCCAGCTTCAATCAGCAGCCTTGAGGATCTTTTAAGGCAAGTTTCTGCTTCTGTGATAGGTCATATGCTTGGATTGCGACCACAACTTCTTTGAGTTTTTTGTCCACACAAGAAGATCCTGAAGCATCGCCGAACAACTACTGACGCCTCCAGGATCTTCTAAATTCACTGCAGTTGAATTCATCAGAATGTACCGTGCGGACTGCCTCATGCAACCGCCGAAAATGTGGCAACTTCAGTCCTGTGCAGGTGTTAGCAGACCCGGAGAACAGTCATGTCAAGAGTCATGCAGGAGAGCAAGATCTTGGCTCAGATGATGATATGTCAGCTACGTAAACGCGCAAAAGCAGTCAACTTCACGCGCACTATGACGGAACAAACAATTCCTGCAGCCAAACATGTAGCGGTGGCATTTGATGCAGACGTCGCCTTGAGCAATGCCTTGTCTCGGTCTTGGCAGTGCCAGGGACTACAAGGTGTGTGGTGCTCAGGTGAGGGAGAGACGTGTGATATGGATATATCATGGTTCTGACTGTGTGATGTGTTTGATGTGTTGCAAGGTCGCTTCCAGCTGTCGAGGAGGCTCGGGCTTCGGAGTCGCAAATCGATTCTGAAACGATGCGGCCCGCGGCCATCAGGACCGAAGACCCGACCAAATTACGCTCGATGATCGCTGGGGCGTGTGGGAGGTTTCATACCTCTTGGCATCCTTCACTAAATAGTGCACTCGCCGGCGTGGCTAGGCGAAAAGCTGCGATGCTTCAACTCACGTGGTCCGTCTTCACCTTGCCGGAGAAGAGGTGAGACCTCTGCTGCCGCGGCTCTTGTCTCATAAAGTGGACTGCGAAGCTTTGCAGGTTCTGAGCTGCTTCTCAACAAGAGAGGCAGTCCAAGAAATTTGCACTCGACGTTTGCGCCGTGGGTCTTTTGGCTTGGTTGTGACGGAAGCTGAGAGGGTAAGTGCGAACAGAAGCGCAGGATTAACAATCCGTGGGTGGGTTGAGTCCTTGGTGGGGCAAGCATCGTCACTGGGATGGACATGAGTTGCATGAACACTCTCTGAACAAGGTCCTTGCAAACTCAATTGCGACATGTTTGGGGCACACGGATTCAAAAGACGACCTCTGATCAGGGACTCTTACGGACATGTATCGGAACAGCATGATGTTAATGCCATGCATGGGAGGACGCTCTGGCCTTCCAGCTTCAGCAGCTGCATTCAAAGTGCCAGACTCATTCCCAGAAACAGAGACCGCAGGGGACCACAAGGATGCTTTCGCTGAATGTTGCTGGCTGAGGCTTTCATGGCCACGCCAAGTGATTGACCTGTTGCCAGAAAGATCTCGGATGTGGGATCACCCGGAGGTGGACAGTTGTTTGTGGATGGTTTTTTTGATCTTCGGTGTCCGTGGCAGCTGAAACTGAAACCATGGTCGCAGGAGCTGGAGGTGCTGAAGCAGTACGCATTTCGTGATGCACTGGCCTGACTGGCCTAACTGGGACTGTATAATAACCCCGTGCTGTTAAGTTTAGTCTTGACATGTCCCTGTTCGGTTTTGATGGTTTTCAGTGGAAAAATGATAAGAAGAGAAGAAAGCGATAACAAAACATAACGACACGGTAACGCATTTTTCGTGGTAAAACGATAAGAAGAAAATAAGACGATAACAACACTCAGGGATAAGGGTTTTTATACGGGGTTATTATACAACCCCAACTGGCACTCGACCACTTGAAGGCTGTATGCAAGTGCGGGCAACTCTCGCCGTCAGGTCACCCTTGCAAGGAAGGATTTGGGTGAAGACTCCGCTGAAGGCAGGACGAGTGAGGAGTGTTATCCAGTCACTCACGTGCAGCTCATGTAGTGATGTATAAAGGTCATGCGCTGACACTTGCTCAGCTGGAGTCCTACCGGGACCGTGGCTTCCTGCTCGGGCCCTTAAAGCTCAGCCTTTGCGGGGAGTCTCTCAGCAGTCACCTCTGTTGCCCTCGGAAAACGATCTGCAGGTTGGGCTTGCCAATCCTGGATGGTGAGGATCTGGCCAGCGCCCGGCAAGACTTCGATGACATGCTGGCAGAGCGCACAGACGCCAGAGCTGCAATCAGCACCGTCTCTAGACATGAACGCAAATCAGAGAATGCCCTCTGACGCTTTGCCAAAGGACAGGGCGCCCGTCACCGACTCAGGTCGGTGGTTCGCTGCCGGGGAGTGCACATCGAGCTGATGCTTGAGCGTGTTCTGCCTAAGGATGATGAGTCCAGATTCCGTGCAGCACATACCCTGAGTCGCCCACTGCATCAGGCGTGCTCCTACTCACAATGTGAATCTTCTGGAATGCCATGAAGCTTTGCAGGTTTACTGACTGCCAGTTTTTTGCTGCCATTTGCAAGTTTTTTTCGGAACTCAAGAGTCGTGCGACCAAGTCGCGGACCGTTGAGGCTACAATGCCCTCTGACGGATGCAGCCGAGTGTATGTGTTGCAGGTGACACTTGCCTGCCTTCTTTGGTGTCTTTTTGTTTCCTTAATTCCAATCTATGCCAAGCGCGTTTTTGATGGCGGCTTTGGATTCGGGAAGTTTCCATACCCTTGCTTCGCTGCGCACATGCAGCTGGCTGCTGCAAGCCTCCTGCTTGGCATCGTCCATTTCTCGCAGCACACATTGGCGTGCAGCACCAGCAACACGTCAGGTCAAGCATCATGGCTTCTCGGGCCTCACTTTTGCTTCAAGTTGAAGTATGCAAGTCCGCCAGGCATGGCTTTCGGGTTTAAGTATGCGATCACGAATGTGGCCTTGTCACTGGTGGATAACTCTACGCATGTGCTCCTGGGTGCAACTGAGCTACTCTGGGTCTTGGCCCTGGCGGTTACGATCAACTCGGAGCGACCTGGTGTTCTAGAAGTGATGGCTGTCCTGGTAAGCCTGGCCGGCAACGTTATTGTGGCCTTGGGCTTGGCAACTGGCATCGATGCACCATTCTGGCCTCTCTTCCTGAACCTGCTGGCTCCCTTTGTCGGAGCTCTCTGCATCTCGACGCTTCGGAAGGGCGTGGCCGGCCTCTTTGACAAACAGAACAGGCTGGGAGGTACGACGAGCGTGGTGGAGTTCACAGTTCTGAAATTGGCGGTGGCCTCCTTCGCAGCTCTCGCCTCAGCCATGGTGTTGGAGAACGGACTCTGGTCTTTTCAGAAACATCCCGAGCCTTGGTGGAGAGCACTGGCTGCCTACCCTGCGGCCGGTGTGGCGACAATACTGGCCAGCGGCGTTTTGACTTCCGTTCTTCATGTAACACTTGCTTGGTTGGCGTGGCTAACATCGGCCATGGCCGTGGGTCTTCTGGGCGAGGTCAAAGTTTTACCTCAATGGTCCCTCAATCAAATCTTCGGAACCAAGCACGCGCTTTCATCTTCCTATTTACTTGGTGCTGGACTGGGCATTGCTGGAGCATTACTGTATGCTGCTGCCAACCTGATGGCTCAGACGCGAGGCAAGCTGATCCTGAATTTATCCGGGTTCTCGTTTCAGCCCAGGGAAGATGCCAAGCCGCAGCAAAGCCCCTCGGCAGAGATGTACATAGCGAGCTCACCCTCTAGCCGGTCAGGCACAGAGTCACTCACAGGCGTAGAGGCCAGCGAGTAAACCTTGCGTGCGGTGCGTTCTTGTCCGTATGGATGCCGCATTGGTTGGCGTCCGTGACGAGGGGGGGTAGTTTTGGGAAGCAACATGCATGAGTTTTCTGTTCACATGGTCTCGGGCTGTTTTGAGCCATCGGGTCACTCTGAGCAAAGTTTGCGGAAGAGCAACTGATGTGATCTTGTCAGGCCTTGGTGCAGAAGATGGCGACCAGCCCCAGGGTTTTGGCCCTCGTCCAGGCCGGGATCTCGTCGTTTCACCTTCTTGAATGCTTCAACATTGTTGCGTGTGACTGTCAGGACATCCTGGGGTGCACCTGTCATGTCATGGATGTCAAGGTGATTGTTAGACGCTGTTAAGATGAAGACCTGCCAGGCCACAATTCTGCTGCTGGAGTGCTCACCTCTTTTGCAAGCTGCCCGGGGATCCGACTTCCCAGCCCTGGCACCAGGACCAAAGAAATCCAGCAATTAGGAACTCTTACCGGGGGTCAGGTTCCATTGAACATAAAGCTCTGAGGGAATCAGCGGGACCGCTTTCGACCCAGCTTGCTCTTTTGACCCATGTGACAAAGCAGCCGCATGTGCCCCATCACCAAATGTGTGAAA